TCCATATTATTAAAGAATTTGCATAGCTTTATAGTTATTATAATTTCATTTTGAAATATGAATCACCCCAAACCAAAAACCCACTGGCGTCGAGTCTATTCTGACTCATAGCAACCCTATAGGACAGAGTAGAACTGCCCCGTAGAGTTTCCAAGGAGCGGCTGGAGACTTCAAACTGTCCACGTTTTGGTTAGCAGCCGTAGCACTTAACCACTACCTCACCAGGGTTTCCATGTGAGTCACCAGTATGTATTATTTGTTTATTGTTATTGTCATCATCATTTTATGTTTTTGATCTAGATGATTACCTCAAGAAGTTTTAGTATGGCTGGATGAATTTTGATTTGTCATTTTCCACATATACATAAATTTTTATCATCTGAAAGAGCATTCAGCTTCTTATTTGTATATCTGAATAGGTAATGAGATGATTTTTCTCACCGACTTTAAGATAATCCCAATCCTTTCCCCAGCGTGTTTCAGTTTGCTATATTCTCTTTCACCTACCACATTTTGTCTGCCTTTTGCGTGTGTGTGTGTGTGTGTGTGTGTGTCTGTGTGTGAGTTGTCTGTTGCCACTTCTTTACAGTTTCAGGACCATACACTTACTTTTTCTTCAATTATTGTTTCTTACTTTAAAGTCTCATCCATTTATACTACACTGAAAGTCATTAAGTCTCATCAAGAATTCCTGTGACTCTACGTAACCAGTGATGGGACTTCATTACCAGAAGAAGCCAACTTTATATAATTTGATGTTGTAATCAATTATTTTAAGATTGTCTACAAGTTATTCTGGTTCCGTACATATATATATATATATTGCTTCTCCAGTCCACTACATTTCTGAATTCATTTCTTTTATTTGCTATTATCCATTTTCAGGAATTACAATCTTATTATTCTGAATTTTTAAATTTGTTTTGAAAAATTTAGCACCACAAACCTTATGCCCACCAATATGTCTCTGCTCCATCATTACAAACACCATAATAGCATATCATTAACAGAATCTCCATCCACTATTATTTGGTAATTATACTATTGTTACAATGTTAAAAGTCGATTTACTCACCCTCCTTGCAAAAGCAACACACACAATGCAGGCCCAAAGTAGAAGCTTCATACTGATTGATCCTATAGAGAATAATATTATAAACTGTTTCAGAAAATGTACAGTATATTTTTAAATTATTTCTCTTCTCCTAGAGAGAGACAAAAGAATATATGAGTTTATTATTCTGAACTAGGAAGACCCTGAACAGATAATTCGGTCCTGCTATTTAATTACTGTCAGTATGACCTAACAGGAATGGCACTAAAGCCAAAATTATCTTTCTTGGCAGATATCCTTCAACAACTACTTGACTTGTGACCAAACCTGTCTTTAAGTGGAAGTGAATTTGTTTAGTTACCTAGGGATACATTTTGCAACTAATTTGTCTTGGAAGACTGACCAGGAAATAAAATTGCTTAAAAGTAACCCTTCTGTGAGTGCTTTGTTGGGATTTTCTTTTTATGGCTTCAGTTGGAGATTAGTATCACTTACCTGGAAAAACTTCCAGGCCTGAAGTTTTTTTCACCATGCCCTGTAGCATAAATCTTTAGGCCTTTGATAACCAGTTTTTCCTCCACCTCTGAAAATTAGTGAGGCAGCCATAGCTTCAGACGTGTGTCTTGATTAGGCTGTTGATTTTCTTCAGACAATGTACAACCAATCTCTAGATGGTTCATTATTAAAATTTATAAGCTTTACCCTCACCAAAAACATAACAATCTCCAGTTTTACAAAAAATGTATATACAAGGATGTTTATTATAGCATTTTTTAACATCTCAAAATGTGAAATAATAAAAATGCCAGCAAGAGATGATTTATTAAGCAGTTAATGGCATATATGAACAATAATATGTTATTCAGCCAGTAAAATATGGTATAAATATGTCTACATTAACATAAAATCACGTTCATGATCTATTGATAAATGACTATTTAAATGTTAAATATTGCTTAAGTATTTTTATGGATAATTTCTAATTAGATGATGGCCAATTGTTTTTATAATTATTTCCATAGTCTTTTTTTCCATAAAATAAGAATGTATTGCTTGTATGCTAGACATATTTTAATAATATGATGATAATTCAAGTTTTTAATAAAAGGTTTTGAATGTTTTCCTGTTTAATTCTTTAAAAAAATCTAGGCTGGAAAAATATTTATGGATGAAGCCCTGGAGGTTATACACACCATCCATTTCTCAAAACATATCTTTTATCTTGGAACCAGAGCTTAGCTGTTACACATGGTTTTGACCACGTGTTGAATGACCTTTGCTATAATGTATTTTGGTATTATACTACTGAGTTTTCTGAGAAAAAAATTAAGAAAAAACTAATGTACTTTTATTGTTTTGAAATTGTAGAGATATTAAAGAAAGAAAATCCCATTGCCAGCGAGTTGGTTCTGACTCATGGCAACCCCATATGTGACTGGATAGAACTGTTATATAGGGTTTTCTTGGCTGTAATCTTTATGGAGGCAGATTACCAGGCCTTTCTTCCATGGAACTTCTGGGTCAGTTTGAACTGCTAGCATTTAGGTTTGTAGTTGACCGCAAATTTTTTGCACTACCCAGAGACATATAGATACAGAAAATGGGCAATATATTTAAAAAAAAATGTATATTTACAGGAAGTATGCAATATGTTTTAAATATATATGTATATACACATAGATACATGATAACTTATACCACACTCTGTTTCCACATGAGCAGCACTGAAGTAATTTCTGACAGGTCCCAGTACCTGGGTTTTTCTTGAGCTATTGGTATATTTTAACATCTTAGAGACATGGGTGTTGATTATTTCTTGGTTTTGCATTTATTTTACTCTTTGGCTACCAGGAGTCTCAGAGTCAGATATCTTGGCCCTATTTAGAACTCTACAGGGCATTATGGCACCCCACTTCATGTTAGTTACTTCATCTCCGGCTTTACCTTATTTCCCTCACCAAAATATCCACGTTAAAAAAAAACGATTTTCTATATTTTTGTAAGCCACCTCAAATACTTTTAGAATGGGTACTATTATCAATGAACAGAAAAAGAAACAAATTAACAAATGAATCTTTCCTGAAATTTTTTATCATACCAAAATTTCCCTTTTTTGTAGGAAAAAAAAGGGCAATTAGTGGAAACAACAATATCATTAATAATAACTAAAGATGATAATATTTTTATCTCTCAATACAGTCTAATTATTTTTAAAGTAGTCTATACCTCATTGTAGAATACTTACGTCCAAACATTAACAATATAAAGTTAACTTATGTAAGTCTTCCTTATAAAATTGTTGCTTTTATCCTTTTCTGGGATGCTGAAACAGGAAGATAAATTGGCTAGAGCCAGATTTTCAGACAACTTTCTGAATAATTGAGAAGAATCCTTCCCCTATCCCTGCTGTTTTTCTTTTGGGAACCTATCAATGAACCAAAACTATAAATCTGGATAGCAAGAACTATTTAAGGTAATGCACATACACTTTTATGAAGAATATAAAAATAGTGTTTATTCCCATTAGAATAATTAACAAAAAATGAAGAATAATGGAATTATAATTTTAGAGTCCTAAAAATCATTTCAGGAATGGAAAAAAGAACACATTTATCAACATTTAAAAAACTTTATTAGTCTCTCACAGTCTCCCAATTTATTTATCTACTCATGTATTAATAGTGACTTAGAGCTTTACAGTGTTCCAGGAGGAACAAAATCTTTATGCCCATTCATGTAATAGAATTTTTCCTTCTTTTCCTCAGTTTTTTTTTTTAGATTTTAAACAACTTGTTAAATGAGAGAGCCTTACTTAATAACAAATTATTCAGTTCTGCAGAAGAACAGGAGCCTCCCTGTGTGGAAGCAATTCATCCTTTTAGTATTTATATGAACTCCTGAAGCCAGTCTGAACCCAGAGAAAGAAATTCCATTGATAAGTCTCCTTCTCCCATGCAGTCTTGAGGTAAGATTTCAAAAATACCTGATGTGTGGTAGAGTAGATGTACATAACAAGATCCTGTGTTACCAACCCTCCCACCCAAGGAAGAGTATAAATATGCCGTTTATTTATAGGCAATCTATTAAGGTTTATTTAACTCAGACTCAGAGAACCTTTAAAACAAGGAAGAATCTTAATATAGATTTTAAAAAAAGATACCTTGTTTCCAGGATGGAAACTAATGTCTTCCGGTCCTGGTGTTGATCTGGACAATGTGTCTTATCCCTTGTTTTCCAGCGGCATTTATAAGAAGCCCTAAATTTAACGTTAGCTCTTTTGTTTTGAAATAAATCACCATCAAATCTGAAACAATAAGAACCTGTCAATTTGATGGATATGATCTGAAATTTATTTATTTTAGGGAATTAAAAAAATGGGAAAGTTCTTTTCCATAGAATGACACTAAAAGAAAAATTTGGGAACTACTGTAAGTTTAATTCCTAAACACAACTTTGCAAATTTTATTATTTTACTGTCTTTTGGCATTGATTAGAAAGAATAATAAGGGAATCTTATGCTTTACTGCATCTTAGGTTAAGTATGGAATATAATGGAATAGCATAAATATTTTTTAAAATGGTGTGGTGCTTCTTCCTGTATTAGTTTTATAAACAAGAATTTTCTCCTATGAATAAATCTTAAAAACCTAAAGAGCCCTTCCATCCCATGAAATTATTTTTGACAATTGAAAACTCTAGTAATACATATTATCAAATAGGAAATGATGATAAGAAATAGTACTGGGTGGCAGTGCCTGAGTCATGTATCAGAATAATGTGAAATGCTTTAGCTTGATGCTCTTTTGGATCATAATAGTGGCTGTAGTGTTTGTCAGGAGATAGAGAATCCTCTCCTCCCAGTATATAATTTTATGTCTTCTGAACTAGATCAACCCAAACCCTTACACTAATGGCCTCACAGAAGAAAAAGTGTGCTCATGTTCAAACACAAAAATAATGACATCATTATCTACTGAACTATAACACATGTCTGGCATTCAATAAAAATTACAAGACATAGAAAAGGGCTAGAAAACAACACAGTCTGAAGGTAAAAAAAGGAAAGATCAAAACCACACTAACTGCGACATAGATGTTGGAAATATCAGATAATTTAAAATAACTATGAGTAATATGTTAAAGATTCTAATGATAAAGGTAGACAAGATCACACAGGTAATTTCTGCACAGAGATGGATACTATAAGAAAGAAACATGAATATGCTAGAAATTAAAAGTACAGTAACAGAAAAAGAATGCATTTGATTGGCTCATCAGTAGATTTGACGCAGTTGAAAAAATAAGCAGCGAACTTGAAGACAGGTCAATAGAAATTATCAAACTGAAACACAATTGACAAAAATAGCAAAACAATCATAAAAGTAAACGAGAACAGAGCATCTGAGAATTGCGGGGAAATATCAAGTATTCTAACATACATGTAATTATAATCCTAGAAGGAAAAGAAGAAATATTTGAAGGAATAATGGCTGAGAACTTTCTAAAATCAATGACAGAAATCAAAACCACAGATACAAGAAGCATAGAGAACACTAAGCAGGATTAATACTACACACATGCATGCATGCACACGCACACACACACACACACACACACACACGAACCCCTAACATGTTATTAAAAGTGCTGGGAACCACAGATAATGAGAAAATCTTGACGAAAGTGAGAGGGGGAAAGAAAAGTTATCTACAGAAAGATATCAGTATTACAGGGAACTTCTTGTCAGAAACCATGCAAGCAGAAGAAAAAAAGTATATTTAAACCGATGAAAATAAAACACTGTCAACTCAGAATTCTGTGAGCTGAAAACATATCCTTCAAAAGTGAAAGAGAAAACTACCGCTGCCTCCTGAGATCCAGTGCTCTTAAACTCTTGTAACCCACACTTAAAAAAAAAAAAAAGATGAAGAAATTAAGGCTTAAAGAACTACAAATAACACCTTTGCCGTCAAGTAGATTCGGATTCATAGCAACCATATAGGACAGGGTAGAACTGCTCCACAGGGTTTCCAAGGATCAGCTGGTGAATTCAGACTGCCAACCTTTTGGTTAGCAGACAAGCTCTTAACCACTGTGCCACTAGAGTGTTACCTAAAACAAGTGGATAAAGTTGAAAAGCCCAAACTATTTCTAGAGCAGTATACAGGTAGGTTGACCGTTGCAGCACGTGTGCTCTATACAATTCATAAATCAAATGATAATACTGAAACTAAAGTGGTTACACACCTAGAATGTGGTTGCGGAGTGCTTAGCATCAGAACTGCAATTTTAGGAGTAACGTTGTATGTGGATTTGACACAGATGAAGATGCATTGGAAACATTAATAGTAATGTGGAAGAGTTTGAGTTAATGAATGTTGATTGACATGGTCAATGAGACATGTGCTCATTATCTAACAGAATGTCCAAGTCTTTTGATAAAGTAATTACAAACCCCCTTCAGGACCAAGAATAATAAAGGACAGATATGGTTTTTCTGAAGACTGCTTTGTAAATAGCAAGAACAGTAAT